ATAAACAAAACAAACACATGGTTGCATTCTACTGAGTACGTCCGAATTAGAAAGGTGTAAACATTGCCAATCTTTTGAAGGAGATGAGCCCAAATGCCCACTTTTTTTGAAAATTTTGGAGAGAACGGCAAAAGCGAGAGGGAGGGAAAAAAACCAAGAGGAAACACCTAAGAAATGTCTACCCAAGCCTGTACAGTACTAAGTTTTATCAGTGAGTAATAAACTCTGAGCTTGTCGGCAGGTAGCATATGAGAACTACCTCTAAACGACAAGTGCCGTGTCTACAATAGGTCCCTTTTCCCATGTCTCACGTTAAGGCTCCTTTCGAACCACGCCAGCTATATGTTATTCAAAAAATGTCTCCAAATTTTCAAGGAGTGTTGTTATAAAAACTCATTTGTTGTTTTCCTTCTATTCTATTCTTTTGTATTATAGATTACTTCATCAACAAAAAGGCCCCAACTTCTCATGAGCACCTTCTTTCCAGAATTTTGAAACCAAGAGCACCAACTTCTGCTAGTTATCTTGCTTCCTAACACTTCTGGTTTGCATGCCAAATATGTAAAGGAGTCTCTTTTAGTAACAAGTTGACCTTTATATAAACTATCCCATAAGCAGGTCTTCTCCTCTCCAACAAAATTTTTGTTTTTGTTTGGTAGGAAATTTTGGTCCAGATGATCGTCGGAAAAAGTAAAATAGAATCTACTTAACAACTTTTTCAGCTTTAAATTAGAGTTTTTTGATAAAATTATCATACCTGCCAATGTTTTCCCTTCTTTAATCCAAGTTTATTACTATTAAAGTATTTAAGATATCTTGTGCTTATTTAATTTTTTGTAAGTATCTAAATATACAGAAAAAGTAAAACTAATTTAAAAGTAAAAATAACAGAAATTAATTAAAATGCCTCTATATTATTTCAATCACATGACACCTTCATTAGATCTTAGATTTATTATTTCTAAAGAAATTAGCATGCTGTTCTAAGTCTAATCTTACTTATTCCAATTGCATAACACCGTTGTTGGATTTTAGATCTATTAATTTTAAAGAAATTAGTATGCTATGCTATTCTAGTCTAACTCTTATTTATTCCAATCATGACATCTTCATTGAATCTTAAACCTATATTTATAAAGAAATTAGTATACTGTATTGTTCTAGTCTAACTCTTATTTATTCTAATCACATAACACCTTCATTAAATTTCAGACTCATTATTCTAAAGAAATTAGTATACTGTTTTAGTCTGACTTTATTTATTTTAATTGGGAGTCCATGAGTAAGCCAGAGAGTATCATAATAAAATGTGACTCAGATTACTATATAAATTTACTATAGTGCAAATATGGTCAGCATGAATCTAAATTTTTTTTTATACTAAGTTAATCACTCTTCCAACTTAAGAGACTTTTGTAAAGCTTGTCAAAACGCATCTAATGGTAGTTAAAATATTAAAATCGGCCTGGTGAGTGCTGAAATATCTTTAAAAAACCTTTCTTTTACTATGTAAATTTTTTTGCAAAAGAGAGCATTTTTGCAAAGAAATTTACATAGTAAAAAAAAAGGTTTTTTAAAGATATCTCAGCATCTACAGGCCAATTTTGACGTTCTAACTACTATTAGATGCGTTTTGACAAGCTTTACAAAAGTCTCTTAAGTTAGAAAAGTGATTAACTTAGTATAAAAAAAGTTTTAGATTCACGCAGGCCACATTCACACTATAGTAAATTTATATAGTAATCTGAGTTATATCACTCTCTGGCTTACTCATGGACTCCCAATTAAGTAAGATACAAGTTGGTTAGTATCCAAATCATGTTTTGCAATAATAAGTAATGAATTAAGCTAGGTATGTAAAGTTTAAGTTTTCATTATTGCTGTTAAATCATGTAATATAAATATTTGGATGTAAAAGAAATAATAATAATAATAATAGTTGTTTCTATTGTTTCTATCTTTGTTTTAAATACAGGATCATATGTTGGCTAAATTATAATCTAAATACTTCTCTCATATTCTTAATATTCTACCAAAAGCTTGTAATATATTGTAAAGATGTGTAGTATCTAACTGTAATTTGTTAAGAGTTTCACAATAAGAAAGAAGTAAAGAATATAATCACATTATTAATTGTTAAAAATTATCATTAAGTAGAATTGCTGTTATTAGTTGTGGGAGATAAAGTTTATCTGAAATATTTGAAAGTTGATTTGATTCTTTATCACCAGAGTTATTTGTTGATATTTCGAAAGGTAATTCAAACTTAGTAGCTAAATTTTTAAAAATTTTGATATTTAAATTATTTTAATTAGATTAGATACTTGTTTAAATTAATACATAATAAATACTAACTTTTAAAGCTTGACAGAATTTTATTAAGCTTTTGAAACAATAACAATACAAATTTTAACAGGTATTACCTGGGCAAATTAATGTAATATATTATATATATATATTTTTTGTATATCTTGAAGCTTTCCAATAAAGTATAATTAAAGTGTAGTATCAAAATAGCTAACTATTTTTATTAATTGTTTTATCGCAAATTTAAACTCTGCAAACTTTTTAAAAATTTCTCCTACAGTTAAATTGTACTGATAAGCAAAACAAGAAATAAATACTATTTCTGGATATTGTAATTGTAGCTAACATTTATTAAAATAATTAGAAAAATATTGCAAATTATTATTTTATTGAAATTTATTTATTTATTATTTATTTATTATTTAT